GTGCGCCATCATGTCATGATTGTTCCACACTGCGTGCTTGGTGGGAAGAAGATGAAGGGAGGAGGCGTAGGTTTTTCCAAGTCGTGGTGGGTTCTGATGCATTGCCACCTGATCAATGTACTCCTGAGATTGCCCACTTCATCTTGCAGAAGCATGTTGAGTCCCCATCAATGTGGTCCATTTTCCCTCTCCAGGTAACTCCGCTCACCTAATTTGTGTCATTTCTTTCTTTATGTACTTGGTTCCTAAATTATCTCTTTTTAGAGGACTAAAACTGCTTCACAATATACTGTTTATTAAAAGCCAAGGGAGCATTTTTACTATTAGTACTATGTTTCTTTTTGGAGATTCTTGTTACTACTTTTGTAGTCAAGGTTTATTTACTTTGACTTGTAATTGCGCAAATGATATTAATATGGAAATGTTCTTGAACAATTTGTTTTAAGTATATTTTTTTGAAATAATAATTCATTATAGATTTTTCCATCATTTGCAATGGAGTCAAAGTGATAAGAACAGAAAAATAAAATCAACGGGGTGAACCGTTGCCCAGATAATCAACGATAAATAAATACCGTTGCCCAGAGCCAAAAGGCTAAACCAACTTTTATTCCAAGATGAGCATGAATGAATCCTAACAAGGGGTTTAAATACCCATCTACTGATTCTTAAACTAGGAAACAAAATCCTAGAAATCCTAATCAACTCCAACTAGGAAACAAAATAATAAAGATCCTAATCAACTCCAACTAGGAAACAGAATAATAGAGATCCTAATCAACTTTAAATAGGAAACAAATAATAGAGATCCTAATTAACTCCTAATAGGAAACAAATCAGGATAATTAAAAAGAATAAATATTAATTAAGCATCCCGCAACCAGCCCACGAAGGTGGGCTCAAGCCCGTCTCCGCCTTCAGTAAACCCACGGAGGCTTCTGCCCCTGTTCTTCCAAGCCCAGATTCTGCTTCATATCACAAAGATTCACTATTTTTTGGCTTGAGAATATGATGGAATAAAGCAAAATGGCTCACTAAACTGTCTACGCTTCTTTGTTATGAACCAACAGTCAGTCCATGCAATTTTGGACGCGATTTTCATTATGGGTCACCCGGAAACAATCTCTATGCGCTTTAGTAGTACATGGGTAAGACTGCGTATATCCGATCCCCCTTACCCCACCGTAGGTGGGAGCCTTTGCGGCACTGGGGTAAATGATGATGATGATGATGATATGAATAATTCATTATAGATATTGTAAATATATAATTGTAAAAAGAAGTTTTATGAATTGGATCTGAAAGATAGGTTCATTATCACTAAGGGACCTGAAAGATAAACTGTTTCAATATGGTTGAAAATTATCAACCATAAAAGTAATAAACTTTTGTGAAGAATAAATCATAAAAAATATCAACAGAATTAATAAAAAAAATTAAATAGATCAAAATCTACGCTATTTTTGGTCTTAGATCGAGTGTTTTCAATCATTCGGGTCCTATATCGACACACTTTATCTTTCAGGTCGTGGATTGATAAAATTCCTAAGAAATAATAATGGTCAAAGATGGACATTTGGGCATTAAAGACCATAAAAGTAAACACAAATTTAAAATAGGGACAGAGGTAGTATTGGTCTTTACAAAATTGTGCTACACCTAAACATCAATAATTAATACAAGGTATTAGAATCATTAGTTGAGTACTTTTTGGAGAATTCACTGATTCCTGGCTTAAGAATTTGTTCTTTGAGTTGATTTGGCATTGGAGGCACATGTTCGTAGCTACTATAGTAATAGTCTAGTCTTGTCTAGTCTATTGTTAATAGAGTTGGAATCAATATTTACTGAATCAATGAACAGGATTTGCTCGCACTCAATGAAGATTACACAACTCGCCCTGCATTTGAGGAGACTATAAATGATCCAACAAATCCAAGACACTATTGGCGATACCGTGAGTCCATCTCTTCTCTTTTTTTCCACAGGGAAATGACTTCTTTTATTTGGTTCTGTTATTTGTCAATCCTAAATCCTTCCTTATTGAGTCACATGTACATTTTCCAGTATTTGAAAACTAAGATGAAGGCGGTATTGGTGTGGTTTTAAAGTCACATCACTTTTTTGTGTGTAAAAGTCTATTTGGTTAAATGAAGAATTGTGTGGCTTGAAAGGGACATATATAAAAGAGGTTAAAAGCCATCCAACTGACTTAGCACTTTCCTTACTCATTAGTCATTATAAGACATTACAAGCTCGTTTGGTAACACTGCAATTGGCTGAATCGGTTGATTCTGCTAAAATTTATGAAGTTCTGGCTGAAGTGGCTGTATTGGCTGATTCTGCTGATTTATGAAAAAATTATATTTAAAATATATTTTATTAATAAAATAATATTAAAAGTATATGAAAAATAGCTAAAATGAACTTTAACCTTAGCCAATATAGCCAGAAAAGAACTTCAACCTTATTTTTTCTTATTATTACACAATTCAGTGCGCGAAATTAAAAATTACGTGTTTGGTTAAAAAATTGACTGATAAGCTTGATAAGCCGAAAAACAGAGTCACCACACGGGCTCTAAATAGGATTGCATCATCAGTTTCACATTTAATACCCTTTACCTTGGATTGCATCATTATTTGGTCTTAAGCGTTTTAAAACTATTCATCAGTGAAATGCCGGTAGATGCTTTCAAACTATAATATCGATGTACCCCCCCCCCCCCCAATACATCTGCAATCACAATACTTGTGTATCTTATATAACTAAAAAGGCCCTTTTTTCCATAACACATTACAATTATTTTTATGCACATTACAATTAGTTTAGCAATTTGAGTCCTATTTTATTCATATTTCAAACTTTCTACTTCTTGAATCAGGTGTGCATGTAACAATGGAGTCCTTGATCAAGGATGAATCTCTTATAAGCATCATCAAAGATCTCATCCGTGGGAGCGGAAGATCGTATCCTAAAAATGAGCTCGATACAAAAGGGATTGCACCACAGACAGGCAGTGAAGCAGAAAGGGTTACCCTTGGAAATGATGTCTCCAAAAAAGCAGCAGTAGCAGTTATGTGAATTTCTATGTTGGAAACCTTGCCAGTCCAGATGGATTCTTTACAAAATAAAACAAATAATAAGATATTGCTTTCAAGAAAAGCAAATGCTCTCAAACAACAATTCGGTGAAATTTCTTGATTACCATTCTATGATCATGCATTTCTTGTAACTATTTTCATTCTCAAGGGAGTTACAGAACATTAGTAGCAGTATATGAAGCCTGTCATCGAATCACCATTAGTATTTTCATCATAACAGCAGTTCTCTTACAATGTAAAAATATGAAAGTTCCTCTACAGGGTCAGTTGGTCATATAAGAGGGTAAAAAGGGAAAAGGAGGAAAATATAAAAGAGATATATATTTTAATCATAGGGGAGAAAGTGGGTGGAATGGATGACATTTTAACCACCACGTTTCCACTCAAGCTAGTAGCTAGTAATCTTCTACCCACCATTCTAAAATGAAGTCATTTCAGCTTAAATTTACACCTATAATGAACACTACATACAAGGCAGTCTTTTGAGCTGCATACTTCTTTTCTGCTTGAATATACTAGTATGAAGTTCCCAACCTTTGCTTTGACAAGCCACCACACTTTCTGGCCTCGAAAGCCTCAGGCAGTTTTTTCTCAAAAATCTCCAAGAACATCTCCCATTCCATACTGCTCATCTCACCAAAGCAAATCCCTTCACAATCGGTTTGGTAGGTTCCTGCAGAATAGCTCTTGCTCTTCATCAACCCACCACCCTTCTGATTCTCACTTACATTACAATCATTGTCATCACCAGCCTCTACCTCTTCAATACTGTAGTCATCAGAAGCATTTTTTTGACAGAAGAAGTTTATGAGGCTATCGTCCAACGTATTCATAGACCCTACAGATGAAAATCTCGGGATTTTTGGTGGTTTTCTACTTATTGCACTACTCTGCAAGGTCTTGAGACAATCTGTGCCTTCTCCAATGTTGATGTTTTCATACTCACAATCAAATTGAAAAATTTCTTGGTCATTGTCATATTTATCTGGAGGATCAGTGTTGGCGTTGGCGTCAATAATTCTAGCATTCTCCAAACTAGCCTTTGTGTTCGAACAAAGAGTTTCTAAAACACTCCACCTTTCTTCTCCTCCAGAGAATTCCCTCGTCATCATTTCACCAATATCAGCAAGGCAGAGCCCAGAAGCAGCAGCGGACTTTAAGAAAATAGTGCAAACTACAAGAACCCGAATGGATGATTCCCTAATAGAAGGAAGCCGAGTTCTGATCAGTTCTGCATCTTTGAAAGGATCAAGACTGTAAATGTACTTGATTTCAGACTCTGAAAATGGGATAGAGGCCTGAGGCCAATGCAACCACTCAAAATATGGATCATCGAGTGATTCAGGCAAGCAAAGCCCGTGGTCGATCGGGACAAGCTTTGCCGATTCAACAGCATAACTTTCTTGTTTTTGTTTCAATAAGATGTTTCCGGCATGTCTGTCGAGGTTAAGAAGTCTCACATCTAGAATCCCAATGCTATGAACCGAAGCAACCGAAAAGCATGATGGGCCCATCTCTCCTGCATCAGAGTCATGGTCTACAAACCGCTGAAGTGAGGCAATTTTGTAAGGTGGGTGCGTAATTGATTCAGAAGAATTTACATTGAATTCCACATGAGAAATCTTGACAAGTGCCGTGGGGGGGACACCCGCAAACCCACCATGGTCAAGGAGATAGGCAGCCAACTCACGGAAGCCCGTTTCACCTACCCTGATGGAGGGCTTTAGGCCCGGTTGACCTAACATCCTACCACAAAAACCTTTTGGGTTATTGATGGCAAGAGGCTCCTCGTCGATCGGTTTTGCCACGGCTATTCTACTGCCATTACTAGATTGAAGGAAGTATGCACCACCCAGGCCACTTGGTACTGGCTCAGGGTTAATTCCAGATGCCAGGGTTATCGCAACCTCGATAACCAGAGCATGCACACGTGGCTCTCCATGGCCTGCTATGATTTCAATTCTAGGAGGATTAGTGTCAACATCATCTCCAAGTTTTGCGGAGAGAGACAGGCAAGGGGTGGAGTGACTTTTGTGGATATTGGGAAAATCAAAAGCTGCATGTTCTTGAGGATATTGGGGGTTTCTTTGGTTTGCTTCAAGATTAGAGAAATCAAGCTGAGAGTAGGATTGGAGTTTGCATCTCGGGGGTCTGCCACCAAATAGCTTGAAACCATAATTATGTTGATCAACAGCTACGGCCATCTTGAAGAATCTCATGCAGGTGAGTGTGTATATATATACAAATATGTATGCTGAGGGAGCTTCTAATAGTTAGAGGATCCCTAGAGGGTTAGTCTTCCCTGGGAGATTAGCCTTCACATCTTCTGGGGAAAATCAAGACTATCGGCAGTTAGAAAATATAAACATTTCAATGGAATGAGGAAGTTTCTTATGGAGACGAATGTAACAGGTTTAGAAGAGGGAGAAACTAAAAGTAAAGAATCTTACTTGATTTTGTCATATGAATGATATAGTATATACTAATAATCATGTTGCTAATCTCCGAACACCTATAAGATATCCACAGAATTATGACAATATTTTATATTAATCAAGGTTCACGAGGCAAGATGGAATGCAGAGAAACAGAGACTAGTTCATATTTTTCATACCATGTTATTGGTCCCTCGCTCCTCCTTTTATTAGTCGCCACAATTGTCTGCAAAATTTTTGAGCGTTATCAATATGGTCAATGCATAATGCTAAAAATGACAACAAAAAGACAATTTCAAGATGTACATCTAAATTCAGATGATTTCCTCGTTCTTTGGAACCTTGCTCCCCAATTCCGAAATTGAAATCTCTGACCCAATAAATCCACATTACAGGATACATAATTTGGGTTTCAATATTTCATTTCAAGCAATGCAGATAGCCAGATACAAGATAAACCCCAGAAATCAAACATAAAGCTGCTTACCAAGTAGCGAGCATGTAAAGGTATAATCATTGAAATCAACAATACCACCCTAACATTTCTAAAATCCAATGTGCTACCCAAATCCCAATTGATCCGCAATCATATTCATCATTCATTATATGGAAAACAGACATTATAATTAATATTATCAGTTATAATTGCAGAAATTGATTATTGATTATCATTATTATTGTAGAATATTAATAATAATAAAAAGAATGCAGCACCCAAATTTCAAATTTCAAATTTCAGAAGTACGAATAAAAGAAGACACAGGAGACATCAAACATAATAAATGCTGAGAAATGGGGAAAAGAATAGAAGTACCCTGAACACTGGTGAGGCATTCAGGGAGAAGATCGGCAACGGGAGAGCGCGAGAGAGAAACAATTCCGTCACCGAAAAGTACCCAAAAATATGGAGGCTACCCCTCTTCTCCTCCGCCCTTTTATTTTTTCGTAGCGTAAAATTATATTTACGCGGGGTGTGTGTATATATATGATCAATCCCCAGTCTCAGGGGAGACTCGTCTTCTTCCTGATAAATCTCTCCTTTTCTCTCTCCCAACTCCATTTTTTTTTTTGAATTTTCGGTACGAAGAATAACTTCCGCTCGCTCCTATTTCCTCGGCTTCAAAATTCTCTCTATTTCCACGTATTTCACAAACGATGTCGTTTTGAGCATTATATGGAGTACTTAAAAACATTACTAATTGCACTAAATTCGACTAAATGGAAACTTAATTGCACAAATAGGACTAAAACCTAAATCATTTACAGTTAGGAAAATTAGCAAACATATAAGCTATTTTTCCTTTCAAACCATATTTCATCTTAAGTTTGTGAACTTTGACTTATCACCTTCATTACTGTGCATAGGGGTGAGCAAAAAACCGATACAACCGATCTAACCGAAAACCGATGACCGAACCGACCGAAAAATTCGGTTTTCGGTCGGTTATCGGTTGTTAAAAATTTAAACTTTCGGTTTTTCGGTTAATCGGTTATTATTCGGTTATTGTTATCGGTTATCGGTCGGTGACCGATAACCGACCAAAATATATATAGCTTTACTAAAAACACTATTTGGGGTAGTTCCCGGTAGAATTTTTTAATGAAATTTTATGAGCATGTTCCTTATGAAATATAGATTATCTCCACTAAATTTCACCTTAAAATTCAATCGGGAAGTCAATTAAATATTTTTTTTCAATTTACAGCGCCAAAATACATAAAAACGCAATATTTTCAAAAATTTATTTAACTAACTTCCGGATGGAATTTCAAATTGAAATTTGGTGGAGATTATAAACACTTCAGTAGGCATATGCTTATAAAATTTCATAAAAAAATTCCACCGGGAACCACCTTAAATAAAAAAAATGCTAAATATTTCTACATGTTCGGTTATGGTCGGTTTTTCGGTTACCGACCGAAACCGAACTTCGGTTTTACGGTCGGTTAGAGTTATACTATCGGTCGGTTATCGGTCGGTCATTCCAATTAAAATTTTTGGTCGGTTATTTGACCGACCGACCGAATGCTCACCCCTAACTGTGCATTAAGATGAGAATATAATGATAATGTAATAATGTTACATAAATATGACCAAAATAAAGATGGTTTACAAAAATATGATTCATTACTAAAGTAGTAATGAAATCATAGTAATTCATGTTCATGTTTTGAACTTTAGTTACCACAGCACTACGTTGTAGTAATGAATAGTCATATTTATGTAAATAAGTTTTATTTTAGTAATATTCTCGTAAAAAACCCATGTTGTTGATATCGGGTACAAATAAAAAAGAAAGTTTGCAAAGTCGAAGATATAATATTTTTAGTTCAGTCTTGCGTAATACTACCTCCTTTCTTTAACAATGGTAATATGTTGAGTTTTATACTATTCACATGTTCTATTTTGACTAAATTTATTTATTAATGTATTTGATAGAGTATTAATTCTAGAGAGATGTGAGAGCTAGAGAGAGAAAGTGAGTAATTATATTTCTCAACCCCCTATAACTAGCCCCAAGGGGTCTATTTATAGGTAAAAATGTGGATTTGGCCTCCTAGTCATGGGCTTAGGAGGTCCATTACAATAATCATGCCTTCTTTGGGCGAAATAGGGCCACTAATGGGCTGAGTACAATACTTAGTAAATAAAGTAAGATGTATTCTGGCAGGACGAAGTCTGGCCGATGCGGTGCACTTTGGCCGATGTGGTCCCATGACCGATGCGGTCCCATGACCGATGCGGTCCCATGACCGATGCGGTCTATGGGCCGACGCGGTCCCGGAAGTCCAGATTCGTGTTCTGGGCCGGTTTGGTTTCTGGCCGATGCGGGTCCCACTGCGCCGAAGGGGGCCACGTGGACGTTTTTCGGGTCGTCGTTGACTTGAGTATGTGGGTCATGGGGTCCAGGCCCATATACTCTATCAGTATTGATAAATTATTTTTTAAAAAATATTACTCCGTATTAAATTTGTCTCAATTTAAATTTTCAAAATCAGTTTTTTTTAGTTTTTTACTAAAATAGAATTAAATATGCTAAAAGTCAAAATTGTATATCAGCAATTGTCAAAAGTGGACTATTGCACTTATTTAAAAAACCGAGCTAGTTTTAACCTCGTCCTGCTAAAATTGTTTCATCTTTCATTTTTTATCCGTCTCCCAAAGATTACTCCATACCAAATATGGTAAAATTTATGTGGTTTAACTCATTTTTACTATATCAATTCAATATCAATCAATTCAAAGGCGGGGCCAGAGCACTGAGTTAGACTGGGCTAGTATCTAAAAAAATAGGCATTTTAAAATTTGAGATGGGTTGGAACCTAGGTTGACCCTCTCCTAGATCCGTCCATGTCAAAAATATAAACTCATTTTTCTTAATATTCGTGCATCAATTCCTCATGTCCTAATGTTAGTGAGAAATATTATTAGGATGGAGGTAGTGTATTTTAGTAGGAAAAATCTATTTGTACATGAAACCTGTGCACATTTTATATACACTCTCCCACCCTAATTGTCTGTGTACACTAAAAGCTTGTTCAGAAGCTACCTGTGTACACAAGCATCTAGGAGGTGTGTATACTTTTCGTGTACGAAAAATACTAGTTGTACACAAAATTAGTACACAACTTGTACACAATCTTCTACTTTTTTTTTTATTTTTAATAAAAAACACTCCTTTATAAAAACAATCTTCTACACAATCTTCTACTTGTACACAAACAATTCGTTTGAAAAAGACACAACCTTTATGCTAAAATATCTGTATATACCAATAGCGTATAATTTGTGTAATAACTCTCCTTTATAAGTAGCACGGCTCATTTTAGTATGTGTGCTCCAACAATCGTTTGTCAACGAAGGGGACTCTTAAGACAGCAACATACACGTGCGGCTATGATGATGGAAATACTCGGAATGAAATAACCACAGTAAATGATCGTCCCTTTTACATTTACTGAATCTTAGAAAAAAAAGTTGGAATGCAGTCAATGGCGATTTCCATCCTCCTCCACCATCATTATTACATTAATTAAATAAATATTTTCAGAAGGAAAAATCCTTTTGTGAATTAAAAAATGTAAAATTTTCTGATTTTTTTCCGTGTAACATTTAAAAAACAGAGTGAAAATGATTGAAAAAAACAACTGCGGAAATGAACCTTTCTTTACAATTCATTATTACAAGTCCAATGAAACGGGGCTTGTCTATGAATCTAATAATATGCCCCTTAATTAATTGACTCATCAATCCCTATTAGAGAAACTATAAAAAAGAAAAAAGAAAATGGTCAGCAATTGATAATTGTTTTCCGAGAAAGCCTAATGTTTCCAACATAATTACAACTACAAAAATGCTTTAGGTACACATTCTTTTACACACTCCTACACACTATAAATGCAATTTTTACATTTACCATTTCACAATTACTTTTACCCCTTTTTATCTTCCTCTCCTCCTACGACCCTTCCCCCCTTCCGTCCCTTTCCTTTCTCCCCTCTTCTTTCTCTCTTTTCTTCATCATAAGGAACTCTCGATTCCTAGAGATTTTAATTGGTATAGAAATTTACTGAGTGGCTATTTTTCTACTCCCAAAATCTTGTTCATATGAGGTATTTATTCCATTTTTGTGCATTTTCAGTCACAATTGTTCCAAATCAAATACTCTTTGTTGTCCTTCATTGACCTTTGCCTTCAATCCGAGTCCAACAAGCACGGCTTCGTTGCAGCTGGAATCGATGCAAACGACGAACAATCGATTTACGTCGGTCGAACAAGAAGCTTCCATCCACTAGCCCATCACTTTGAGGTAGTAATTATTTCGATTTTTCTATACCTAGAGGTCTTAACTCACATAAAAAATTTATTAGTGTTTACTTTTTCAACTATGATTTTGCTTTTCTCTCATTAGACCTTGCTCATATGAGATATTTATTCTGTTCTTTTGTGCATTTACGGTCATAATTGTTTCTGTTTTTCAATTTTTTGTATGTGATATACGGAGTATGTTATAATGTTGAATGCTAATTTACATTGTTATATTGTTATAGATTTATGATTTTAATAATTAAATTTTTTCTTCAACTATTCTATTTCACTTCTTGCTCATATGGTGTTTGTTGAAATGATTCAATGATTTTATTTATTCATAATTTCATATCCCGATTTTGTGATTTTATTCTCCTTTTTTGCTACTATATTTTTATCCTTGATGGATTTTAAATGTTATTTTCTATTTTTACATTTTAAATTGAGTTTGAATGTCAGTTTAATTTGTTTGACTATTCTATGGTACTTAGCTATAATATACGGAGTATTGTAAGTTTGATTTGTTTGACTATTTTTTTACAGTTTAATTTGTTTGACTTATTTGTTAATATAATTTTATGATGTTATATGTGCTATATATGTTTGTTAGTTTTGACAAACATGATTTGGGCAAGGTATTAAAGGAGGAGTTGAAGTATATGTTGTAGACTTACAGTTTTAGTTGTTTCAATGATACCATGAAAATATGTTGGATGAGTTTATTAAGGATTATAGAAATGATGCCCGCGCTTACCAAACTACACTAATGCCCAGAGAAGTGATAAACTCTCCTGTTTACATGCTCGTTTTCTTGATCCATGCCCTTGCACATGACACTTGCTTTCTTGATACATGATAAACTCTACTCTTTAAATGCTTGCGCTCATTAAATTTGTGCAGTTTGATGCATTACACTGGACTACTGGAGCATGTGATAAAGCAAAATATGGCATACAATGGGTAGTGTAAGTTCAGCCAGGCTATGGTAGAGTGCAAGTTCAGCCAAAGGGGAAAACGTTCAGTTTTCCTGAACGCATGTGATAAAGCAAAATATGGCATACAATGGGATCAAAAAGTTGAGAATGAGAGATTTAAAGCAAACGATAGTAGAATACTTCGTTCTTGAAATTAGTTATATTGTAAAGTTAATGTTTTTGTATTTAAAATGATAGTGTAATTAGAGTTGTTTGTGTTTCAAAGTGTATCTTTTGTATTGAGAAAATGACTTTGGATTTTATAGAAGGAATTGAAGTTCTGCTATTAATGCAACTTGTAAGTTGATTGACAAAGTAAATAGTTGTCTATACTCATTTTGATGACATGTGATGACATGTTATAGGAAATTTGTCTATACACAGACAAAATAAATGAAAACACAAACATTTATTGTATATGCACAAACAAAATACTCCCTCCGTCCCATTTATATTGTCCCGTTTTATCTTTTCGGGAAGTTCCACTTAAATTGTCTCATATCATATTTGGTAAAGTTTATGTGGCTCTAAATCATTCTTACTTTATTCTTACTTTATCAATTAATATCAACTACACAAACCCACTTTTCTTAATAAACATGCCACCCTCTTCCGTCCCAAAAGATTCTGTTTCATTTGCCCGTTTCAGTGACATTGTCTATGTGCTTGTTTATTTTGTTTGGATGTAGATAATAATATTCTTTGTATTTATTTATATGGTCTATGTGTGGTTAAAACATTGTTCATGTTTGTTTTGTACTTACAAAATTATTGTCTGTGTGTTCGTTTATATCGTCTGTGCGCGACTAAAATATTGTCTGTTTTCGTTAATTTTGTCTGTGCATAAAAGTAATTGTCTGTGTGCTCGCATATATTGTCTGTGTTCGTTTATTTGATAAGAATCAATTGGATATTGAAACATTAGTCTTTAATCTTGTTGTTCAGACTTAAATGGGCTAATGTGCTAAGTTGAATTGTCTGTGAATTAGATAACAATTGTTGTGTGTGGTTAAAACGTTGTCAGTGAGTTCATTTATTTTGTCTGTGCGTAGTCGAACCATCGTCTATGTCTTCATTTCTATTGTCTGAGTATTCATTTATTTTGTCTGTGTAAATAATAATTGTCTGTGTTCATTTATTTTGTTTGTGCTTAATCAAATCATCATCAATGTTTTCGTTTATATTATTTGTGCGTGATTAAAGCATATGAAATTACATCAAGAAATATAAATAGGAATTCATAAAATTCAACAACTATACAATACATGTGAGCTAAAATATTCACCAGATCCGCAAATGGCAAAAGTTACAATACAGGACTGCTTTAACTTCTAATCACTAAATAGTCTAATGTCCATATGATTTTGTATACTTTCTTCAGAGGCTTCACTTTCTTCTGTTGTAGGAGGTGGTCTGGCAGAACAATAACAACGTCCAAGGAAAATTTTAAATTCAGATAATTGCCCCCAATACAAAAAATCAAATGCCCCCCACAAACCTTTCCACCGAACTCGAGTCAGCCACAATAAAAGAACCCAATGAAACGGTAGTGCCCAGATGCCAAAAGAATACTCCGTGTAGATTTGAGCTTTCATAGTTTCATCAAATAAAGTGTTAATACGGAGTAGTATTTTAGATGATGTTTAGATATAAGGAGTAATGAATAAACCATACAGAGTATAATTTATCCTAATTTATAAAGTGTTAAAATTAACAATCTAAAATTTACAACTAGCTATAAATAGTTCTTTGATTTACGAATTAAGAAACCCATATAAAATATAAATTTTACATGGCTACCACTCTCGTAGAAGAATTAAGATATATAAAGAGACAAAAGAATACATTAGTTATAAAAAAAATAATGAGTAAAAGGTCAATTTGGTACTCGAAGTTGCATAAAAAGTGTCAAATAAGTCCTTACTGTCCGGCCGTCGTCATTTGGGGCGGTTCTTGGAGGAATTTTTTGATGAAATTTTTTGAGAGTCTTATTAATTAAGTCTAGTTTACTCATACCAAATTTTAGCTAAAACTTCAATCAGGGAGGCATTCAAATGAATTCTTGAAGATAACTATGCTTTTAACCGCACAGTTATTTTCAAGAATTCATTTGAATGTCTTCCCGATTGAAGTATTAGCTGAAATTTGGTATGAGTAAACTAGACTTAATGAATAACATGCTCAAAAAAATTCGTGAAGAAAATCCACCGGAAAGTGCCCCAAATGGCGACGGCCAGACAGAGCCTCCTATATAAGGATTTATTTAATCCTTTTTATGCAACTTCGAGTACCAAACTGACCCTTAACTCAAAAAATAATTGCATTGTTTATCAGATTTTTTGGACAATTTTTGAATAATACTTCTCAATATGCTATTTCTACTCCTCAAGAAATGGTTATCAATTTCTGAGTAACTATCTTGTTTGCTTTATAGAAAGATCTGTATTTGAATCTGTCACAAATCAAACTATAATAGATCTCTTTAAAAAGACGAAAACTCGAAGAGAGCAGTTGCGAATTACTTTTTTAGGTTTTTTATATTGTAATATACTTTATTAGTTGAAATTTCTCAAATACTTTATTAGAAAGATCTGTATATGTTCCGGGACCGATCCGGGCCCATTTTTTTTTGAATGGTTTGGGTAAGAGCGGGATTGGGCTGGGTGGTTTGGGGGAGGGGGGTAAGAATAAATGAGAAAAACCAAAAAACAAAAACATTACTAGACCCGGGCCCGGCCCGGTCCCGGAACATAGCCGGTCCGGTTCCGGGCCTCCATTTCCCGGACCCAGGCCCACCCTAAGCCCGATCCGGGACCGGTCCATCCCTGCCCCCAATAGCTCTGATTCCTGGATCCGCCACTGAACACAGGCTCAGTTATCAGGGACAATTGCTGAAAATAGAAGGTGATTTACATCCTCAGAGACTCCAGGTTTTTATCATCTGCCCCAGCTCTTACTTGAGTTGTCCATTCATCAATAATCTGGTTAAAATTAGGAAATGCTGGATCATTATCGTCATCAGTGACTGGTAAATTGGGAAATAAGAATATTAGAATCTTGAACAAATTAACAAAAAAGGAGAGTAAATGTTTTGGATTTAAGAAAAAAAAAAATCATTAAGTCATTTCAACAAAGTTATGAGCATAAATTTAAAATAGAGTATTTGAACTAAAATTTCAACAACTGACACCACATTCTTTTACAATAACACAAAATACTAAACCATTAATTGTTAAACCATACATAATGTACAAAAAATCGAAAATTTTAAATAAATGAAACCCTAAAATGCATGTAGAGAAATCGAAATAGATTCTTACCTCAATATTATGGACTGTTTGATCGGACCTTCTTGTTCGAGCAGCACAAATCGACCATCTCAGTATCTCACTCTCGTCGTGTGCAACGATTCTCGCTGCAGCCACACAGCTGGTTGGTCTCGAAATTGAGGAGAGTGGATTACGGGGCTACAAGGGAAAATGAACGGGTGTTGGTGGCTGAAAGGGCCGAGCCTTTGTGTTTGGTTGGTGCAAGAAGAAACAAAGGAAGAAGAATGAGGAGAGATATGGAAATTAAAAGAAGAAATGGAGAAGAGGGGGAGAGGTCGTAAAAGAAAGAAGTGGGAGAGAGGGTAAACCGTAAGAGAAAAGAAGGTAAAAAAAATTAAGCCTTTTTATAGTGTGTAGGAGTGTGTAAGAAAAGTGTGTAACTAAAACATTTTTGTTACAACTAGCCCACAGCTCCTTTCTGATTCTGAGCGTAATCGCCGCCGCCGCCGCCGAGGCGGCCCACTTCGCCGTCTCCGATTTGGTCTTCATTCAGAAGCTTGCCGGTCTTTATGCAGTCGCTGAAGAACCCGAACCTCGGCGTGGTCTCCGGAGCGGAGTCGTCGGAGATTTTGGTGTCGAAGGTGAAAGAGGGTTCGTCGGAGCGGCCGACGGAGTGGAGAGGGGTGGGGCAACTTCTATGCCTTTTGGGGCGGCGAACGGTGTCGGGATCCTGGTTGGTGGTCGGCCGACGGGAATCGGCGGTGGGGGCTGATTTTGGGTGGTGTTCCATTACTGACGATAGAATGGATCTGGACAGTAGCAGGAGCAGAGAGTGGCAGAGAGTGGAGAAAGCGGGTCGGGCTTTGTTTTTAGTTATTTTGGGTTTTTTTGTACCTTTTTGATGGAATCCAATGGCTGCTCATAGAATCTATCACCATCCTGACCTCGACGGTACACGTGCCTTCTTATCATGATGGAAACCCACACCCCCCATGAAAGTGCCAAATTTCCCCTTCTTCAATGATTTTCATCAGATAGATTCTATGGTACCTCAAATGTGTCGTATCTTTGTCCACATGGATCAATAAGAATGATGCAGTTGAATTATTTAAATCTAAATTAAAAAGCATATAATGATTTGGACTCATAAAATGCATAAGAGGTACGGTACCCCATTTTTTAAATAGGTACCGGAGTTGTCACCTTTTCATCTAACTTCTTTATCTAACTTCTTTAAGATTTATTTCCACAAATATCTCATTTTTAGTTTTCTATGTATACATGATTAGCTGAGAAATTCTCAACAAACATTCAACTTTTATTACAAAATATATAAATTGTTCGAGGTTTCCAATAATATTACTAAAAGGGATATTTTTTAGTTTTAAATATTACTCGATTCTCGATCATTATTTTTTGGGATAAGGGTGAGATAGGGCCTCGAACTCGAAAAAAAATGTCAAATAAGGTCATATTTAGGATGCTCTGTCCGGCTGACGCCATTTGGGGCGGTTCCAGATGCCATTTTTTGATGAATTTTTTTGAGCATCTTTCTCATTAAGTCTAGTTTACCCATACCAAATTTCAGCTAAAAATTCAACCGGGAAGGTAGTCAAATAATTTTTTGAAGATAATTGTGAAGTTAAACAACCCCGTACATTTCGGAAAATCATTTGACTACCTTCCCGGTTGCATTTTTAGGTGAAATTTGGGATGAGTAAACTAGACTTAATGAGGAAGATGCTCAAAAAATTTCATCAAAAAATTCCATCGGGAACCACCCCAAATGGCGTCGGCCGGACAGAGCATCCTAAATATGACCTTATTTGACATTTTTTTTCGAGTTCGAGTCCCTATCTGACCCTTATCCCTTATTTTTTACATTTTTCATTTACTTTATTCATATTTGTATTAAATCAAAGTAAGATACATAAAATGAGCAAACGAAGTATACAAAGGGATAATGGGTATCTAACACCTATGGGGCCGGGGAACCTCTCCCCCTTTCACCCGGCTGAAAGGAAAAGGCAAAGGAGAAAAGACACTTATCTAAGCTACGCGGAATAAAAGGAAGAAAAGTGGAGTTGCGGGACATGTATAAAAAAATCTCTTTTTAAGGCGTTAGAACACTTTTATTTGTACTCCAATTTTGAGAAAAGAATATCAAAATTTATGAAGTTTCAAGTTTCAACTGCTGAAGTTTTAAGTCCAAAATTTGATAAAAATTTAGAATATAAAGGTTGTTGTTGGATATATTATCCCGGTCTGTTACTATTCAGGAGTCTAAGACTTTACATAGTACGGAGCCCGATCAGTGAGGCCCATTTCAGCCTATCAAGCTTGTTTCGGCCTTTGGGCCCATTGTGGCTCATTTGGCCCGTTAGGGTGGCTTGCACCCCTTTCCCATTTCCCTATAAATATGAGGCTTTCCCTCCATTATAGGGATGTCCTTTGAGCTTCTTCCTCCTCCTTCTCTCTAGTTAGCTAGTTTGCAATACTCCATTAATGGGAGCTCAATATTTGTATTAAGTAATGGTGAAGAGAGATTAATGAGAAAGAGAGGGCTTGGACATTAGCCTAAAAAGTCCCGTGGTTTTCTTCCTTTCGGATTTCCACGTAAAGATCAAGTGTTCATACCAAATTATATCTATATTTACTATATTGTGTTGGATTAAACTCAACAGCTGTCAAATGGGCTTTATATATGTTTTTCTCAAGCGATGTCTACAAATTATGTATTCCTCATTGGTGTTATTGACCAAGTAATGAATTTTCGTTGCTTGTGATTCAAAGCTTGTTTAACCTAGTTTTTCTAAAATATTGACTCCTGATATTGGTGGCTTTGAGGCCTGAGTTATTCACCTGCCTTCGGAAACCACTGCCATACTATAAGAGAAAGCGCTCACTTTGAGCTCCTTTTCGGTCGGTGGCTGGTCAAACTATTGAATCAAACAATTTCTTCTTGTTAGAGTATCTTTGTTAGTTGCTGGTCAAATTAATACTTCCTTTCCGGTGGCGAATAAAGCTGAGCATTATTTATAGCTTTTTTTTTTCTTTTTGTTGTTAGCGATATGGAAGCGTCCGTTATATATTTTTCGTTCTATGTCTAATCCCATTGTAGACATATATCTATAGTAGACATATATCTATAGACTATTCACTCTCTATTCTTTGCCATCGTTCGAATGAATAAATAAGTTTCTTTATTTCAAAAAACAAAGTAAAAAATTGATGCTTTATTCAAAGCCTGTTTGAAAGAAGTTTAAAATATACGGAGCAGTATATTCGGACTAAATGAAGTATTGTTTTTGAATTTCAGTGTAAAATTACTCATCACGTAATAATAATACCGTAGTATGTAAAGCAAGTCTAATACTCCACGGAGTATGATTTTCAGAACTCTATATAACCTTTTTAACGAGATAAAAAATACAAAAACAACAATACAATCAAATCAAACACGACGCTAGTTTGATGTCCATCCTGCATTGTTTTGAATTTAGGTGTGATACGTATCAATCCTTCAATATTTAGTGTACGAAGTTTGAATTCGAATTTTGCACAACATACTAAAACCATCATCTTTAGCAGAGCAATTTCAGTGATACAGCCTTATTATTCTCATTATTAACGGGAAAAGTCAAGAAATTAGTGTGTTGATAAATAAAAAGCTGGTTAATAAACTAAAAAATAAGACAAAACAAATTTCTACTAAGAAAAGCACTTAAAGTGCTTAAAGGAAGCGTATATAGTACAACCGGCTGTACGGTGTCAGCCGTACAGCCGGTGGCAAACTTGTAATTTTGGTGAAAATCTCGGATTTTCTTAAATGAGCATTGAATCAAGTTTGATGAGCATCGAGCATGTTCTTTTGAGTATTAGGAGGCTAACGGTGAGCATTAGTGATATCTACTTCATTCCTCACATATCATTTATTATTTTTTCATTTATTAAAGTCTTAAATTATGTCTATAATCGAGTTCATTGAATTTCAATATGTGAACCTAATGGATTATGATATGTTAACATGTGTAACCTTTTAAAATGAGCATAAAACAGTACCAAATGAGCATACATAATTACAAAATGAGTATCAAAATATTAAAAAACTCGTTTGTGTGTGCTCATCCATTTTGGGTGTTATACTCATTTAAGTTTAACATAAAACTCATTTTGAAATATGCATGAATATGACATTTTAAAATCATTTTGCACATATATCAAATGAGCATACATAAATTACGAAATGAGCATTCACAAAACTCATTTGAAATGTCTACTATACTCATAATTTCATTTGTTATGCTCATATCTGAAGAATTACGTACAACTTAGATTTCTCTAACCAGCGGCCAACAAGTGACCAAACTCACTCACCACACTTGGGTAAGAAAAAGAGGAAAAGGAAGAATCCAGAGCAAGAAAAAGGGAGAAGAAGCAACTAGGGCTATACACCCAGAGGAGCCATCGCAAGAGACGGTGCTACACTCGTGCTGGAGGTTGCGGCTGTCAAGAATCGTCATTTGCGTAGGTGGCGCGCAAAGAACGAGAATGATTTGCAACGGAAGCTTGCAAACTGCGATGGAAAGTGGAAACCCATGGACGCCTGCGAACTGCGATGGAAGCCCAGCACCTGCGATTAGCGAACTAAAAGGCCAGCAGTACCGTGCGCACGATGAAATTTACCGTGCTTAAATGAGATAGCATTGACCATAAAATTACTTGTACAACAAGTGATCCCAAATACACTCTAATGCTCTATACGCCAAGCAAAAGATACTCCAAGTTATACTCTCTCTATCCCATTTTATAAGATATCTTTACTGTTCAATTGGTCAATACAAGTCACTCTTAATATCTTACTTTATATATCAAAATTTTATGAAATTTGAATTATTTTTTGCAAGTTTTGTAACGGATTTAATGTAGTTTCTGAATATGTAATTTTTTTTTTGTAAAAATAATTTGAGTACATACAGGGATCTGTTTGCTTTATCGTCAGTCAAACATCGTAAACCGAAAAGTATCTTATAATTCGGGAGGGAGGGAGTATAAGATTATAGAAGTTCAAGTACAGACTGCTAATATTGTACGTAGTATTACTGTAATAACTGCTCCAAAAAGACCGTGCAGGTTGCCTAATTAACACAGGGGATGAGCCGGATTAGGGAACCAAATCCTGATTGATTAAGAATGCATCATATGCTGCTTGATCAGATCAATAAATTCTTTGGGCAGTGGAGACAGGACGCAAGAACACGACGATAACGGTAATATTGTCTTGGCTGCCGCGTTCAGCAGCTTCAGTTGTCAACCTCTTAGAACACATACCTGCCTCTTTCACTGTGTCGCCTATTATGCTCACCACTTCCTCTTCCCTCAAAACATCCCACAGCCCATCACTACCCATTACCTGATGAACAAGTACTTGGCAGATCAGATCTTACTCATAGGTTGCTTTTATTATTGTATATTATTATTCAGTCTTGTATTAACTCTTTTGTTTTCCGGATTTACGAAGCAGATGGAGTAAAGCTTACAATGTATTCATCATCAGGGCACAGAATAGTTTCAGAAATCTCAGGTTCTGCAGTCACAGCTGGCTTAAGATCATCATCGCCAATAGACCGCGTGACCTATAAGTAATGTGTTTAACCAACAAATAGCTCATTAAGTTAACTAATTACTTAAAGGGAAAGTGGCATATTTGATCCATTTTACGTTTCGGCCCGTGCAACTTACGTGCACATGAATTCAAATATTTATGGCAAGAAATTTCAAGAAATATATATGCAATTTTTTGTATATCTTACATTTATTTTTATTTTTATTTTTATTTTTATTTGAATATTTTAAAAAAGTACTCCGTAGATTTTTTCATCGTAAAAGACCATATTTTTGTGCACGAGAGTTGCACATATGGAATCCATCGATAATTTGATTTTTCTGGCCAAAAAATCTTTAAAACCTGAAGAAAATTATGAACTATGAGACTGAAAATCAAGAATGCTTTCATCTAAGGGAACATTTCCATACACAAAAAATGAGAACAAATCTGCAACAGTTTAACCTTATCTGAAAATGCCTCGAATTTGGAAACAATTCAATTTCGGTACGTTGATATAAGCAGTAAGATGTTATTC